AGTTCTCAGGCTTGCGAGAACACGCAAACAACAAACACAGACGCCCCGGACAATGAAAGACTGAATCGAGTTCCCACTCGCTAGCTATTCTAAACACACCCCTCAGTCTATAGTATAATATAGCCAAAAATTTACAGAAGTCGTTGAATTATTGTACTGAATATGATACAGATGTGTATATAGTAGCTATATGGAATGAGCAGAAATAAAATGGCGTTGTCAATATACCTATGGATGCGAGATATAGCTGACGTAGGTTGCTAGGCGACCAGGCTGGTAAACAACCGCAGGTGGCTGCTCCTGCGTGCCGTCTCATTCTGTCAGCTTGCCACCCACCAACCGATTCGTCGGGCTGCTGTGGTTACCATAGTAAACTCGATGAACCAAAGTCACCTTGAAGGGCATGAGTGAAGCGAGTGAGAGAGCGAAGATTAAGAGTTTTGGCTGTAAACCTTGAAGACGTAATTTTCAGACAAAATAATTGGCGTGTGAGGGCTGGCTACCTCTCTTACCGCAATGTTATCTTCACCTATATATACCTATGCTGTATGTAGCTGTTTCACCATCCACACCACCTAGACGCAGTGTATGATCATTGCCAGAAGAGGTCTATAATAGGCTCTTTATAGTCTTATATAGACTGCGCCTGATCATGCGCCTACTCGTACCGCTAATATAACGTGCAAATGTTTTGTGTGTAGCCGTGAGTATACCGCTTTACCTGCCTGTGTACGCTTTGCATATACCTATAGCTGTCTATCTTCGCTACTTATTCCCTGTCTATATTGTTCTGTGTGTAGCTTGTGTACGAGTGTTAAGCTTGCCTACCTATCGTCCATACTAACACCTGTCTGCTGGCCTATGGCTCTATTCCGCTCGTGATCACACGCCTATTCCATCCTATCTGTTTATATTATTCTATCATACATATAAATATATTACCGTGCACTGTGTGTAGCCGTGTTAGGCCACTTCACCTGTGTGAATAACTATATCTACCTGTGTATATCGTTTCTACCACCATGTAATGATACCTTGGCGCCGTTGTCGAGAAACAAGTCAGATTAGTCCCTAACATTAACTTTTTCTCTTAGACCGTCGACAGAACGCTAAAGAAAAGTCTTACCGTGAATGGAAAATGCGTAACCAGTATTCCTCATAACAATTACGAAACACAATGCGTCTGTCAACGGTCTACAATAACATGTTAAGTGTTTAAGACTATTTGATGTTAAGACTAATTTAGTTTCTGACAAGCGGTGTCCCTTCGTGCTAATGTATAGCAAGCAAAGGCCTACCTGTGTGACTAATCTATAATAAACTAGCTAATACGTTATGGGAGCTATTAGTGTTCAATAACAATCTTGTAACTCTACCGCACACTAACAACTCTATAATACTTTAAGGTATTATTAGCTCTTGAAACGTCTAACCACACTAACAACTCTTTAATAATACTTAGGTAATTATTAGCTCTTGATAACTCTAACCACACTAAAACTCGCTTAATACCACCTTAAGGTATTTATTAGCTCTTGATAACTCTAAACCACACTCACACTCTTAAACACTTAAGGTATTATTAGCTCTTAATAACTCTAACCACACTAACAACTCTTAATAACACTTAAGGTATTATTAGCTCTTGATAACTCTAACCACACTAACAACTCTTAATAATACTTAAGGTATTATTGAGGCTCTTAATAACTCTAACGCACACTACGACAACTCGTAATAACACTTGAAGGTATTTATTAGCTTCTTGGATAACTTAGTAATATCTACCTAGTGTTGGTTCCTTGAGCGTGGCTCCGTACGTCTGTAGTGCGGAGTACGTCGAGTTGAACGTGCCAAGCAGAGTGGACATGTTGACGTTGGAGCCGATAGCTAGCACGGCGCTGTGGTTGGGTATGTGCTGTAAGTAGCTGACGATGGCTGCGTCTGCCTCAATGTTGTGTTGACCACATTTACCAAGGTCTATCCGCCTCACGTCAGCCTGTGTGTAAGATAGAGTGTTAGAGAGAGGAGGGGGAGGGAGAGAGGGGGAGAGGGGGAGAGGGGGAGGCAGATGTGGTTGGGTATTGTGCTGTTAAGTCGGCTGACGAATGGCCTGTGTCTGCTCACTGTTGTGTTGACCACATTTACAAGGTCCTATCCGCGAATCACGTCAGCCTGTGTGTGAGGCGACAGTGGTAGAAATGTGTTAGATGAGAGAGAGAGAGAGGGGTGGAGAGAGAAAGAGAGGAGCAGGGGGAGAGGGGGAGAAGGGGAGAAAGCGAGAGGGAGAAAAAGGATTGAGAGGGAGATCGTGAAAGCGAAGAGCGAGGAAAGGAGAAGAAGTAGGGAGAGGGAGAGGGAGAATTGGGGAACAAGAAGAGAGAGAGAGAGAGAGGAGAGAGAGAGAGAGAGAGGGAGGGGGGGAGAAGGGGAGGATGAGAAGCCAAGCAAGGAGAGGCGATGAGGTAATTTGGTAGCGCGTCAGAGAGAGAGAGAGAGAGAGAGAGAACGAGAGAAGAGAGATGACGAGAGAGAGAGAGAGAGAGAGAGAGAGAGAGAGAGAAAGAGAGAGAGAGTGCAACCGAGAGAGACAGCGAGAGAGAGAGAGAGACAGAGAGAGGACAGAGAGGAGAGAGAGGAGAGAGAGAACAGAGAGAGAGAGAACCTGAGAGCAGAGAGAGAGAAAGAGAGGCGAGAAGAGAGAGAGAGAGAGAGAGAGAGAGAGAGAGAGAGAGGAGAAGAAGAGAGAGACAGACAGAGAGAGGAGGAGAGAGAGAGAGAGAGAGAGAGAGAGAGAGAGAGAGAGAGTGAGAAATAGAAAGAGAGAGAGAGAGAGAGAGAGAGAGAGAGTGAGAGAGAGTAATAAAAGTGGGAGACGGAGAAAGTGAAGGAGAAAGGAAGGATATTTACGAGCGCCGTGTGTGAATTTGGAGGTATTCGCTACTCGTGGGTGAGTTGTTAATTGGTTTATCGGCTGAGCGTGAAATATTGCCTGCGTGTGAGTGAAGGTAGGAATTTCCGATTGGTCATGAGTTTATTATTACATGTTTCAGCATTTGACTGGGAGCGTTGAGTTATTGCTTATTGTGAGTGTATTATACACGTGGATTATTGCTTGAGCGTGAATAGTTCCTGGTTTATCACATGGGAATCACCTAATAAACCACCTGATAAATCACCTGATATGAGAGTTGTCCCCTCTCTCCATCTCCTTTATCTCCATCGTTCTCTTTTTTTTTCTCTTTCATCATTTCTTACTTTCTCACCCGCTTTCTATCTCCTCCTCGCCCTCTCTTTCTTTTTTTCTTAATCTCTCTCTCTTTCTCTCTTATCCCCCCCTCTCTCTTATCTTTCCCCTCTCTCGTCCTCCCTCTTCAACACTCTTTCCATCATCCCTTCTCTCCCTTCTGCTCTTCCTCGTCTCTATCAATCTCCCCCTCTCTCTCTCTCTCTTTCTCTCTCTCTCTCTCTTTCTTTCTTTCTCGCCCTCACTCGCTCTCTCTCTCTTTTTCTCTCTCTCTCTCTGTTTTTGTCTCTTTGTTTAAGTAACCTGAACCTACCCTAATTACTTCCCTGACGTCACTGGATGGGGCAGGCGAAATATGGCGTGTAGTGCCCTCTATCCTCCACGACATTAACTAAATTACATTGACATGTACTGTTCCTTAAACGCTGCCATTAATTATTAATAGAACGTAATTAGTGATATGCAAATTTTTTTACGGTTTACAGCTTGTAGATTTTTTTACGGAGCTGCTGACGTATTCACCGTGTGATGTTTAGACTGCCACCATTCCCCCGAGCTCGCTATGCTTATGGGCCTGAGAAGTACCGTAACGCCAGACTAAGCTTCCAGAGAAGGCATTGTTTTTCAATCAAAGGATAAGACGTTAAAGTAAACATTTTAATTTTGTTTTTTACTTCTTTATTCTCCAGGCGGAGTTTTTCTAATTCGTTCTCTCTTTCTCTTTCTCTCTCTCCCTCTCTCTTTCTCTCTCCCCTTCTCTCTTTCTTTCTCTCTCCCCTTCTCTCTTTCTTTCTCTCTCCCCTTCTCTCTTTCTTTCTCTCTCTCTTTCTCTCTCTCTTTCTCTCTCTCTCTCTCTCTCTCTCTCTTTCTTTCTCTCATTGCTTCACACAGAACATTATACAAGAATTATTGATTTACACATTACAACATTTATTGATTTTAGATCACATATCGATTTCATCGGAATCATTCTAGTACGTAAATATGCGAGTGATATCTCTATACCTGTTTAGTGACGAGTTGAACGTAGCCGACCACCATGGAGCATTGCGGGTTGTCACCGCTGTATGACGTCGCCGGAATGAACTGGCCGTCGACGCGCACCTTTTGTTGTAAGGGGACGCCACCGTTCAGTTCGATGAAAATACCTGCAAAGGGACAGCAAGTAAAAATGACGCTACGATGCATGTGTGCGTGCGCTCGCGCGCGCGTGCGTGTGTGTGCGTGCGTGCGTGTGTGTGCGTGTAGGTGTGTGCGTGTGTGTGCGTGCGTGTGGTGTGTGTGTGTGTGTGCGCGTGTGATGTGTTTGTCGTTGGGGTGTGTGTGTGCGGCGCCGTAATGTGTGTGTATGCTGTGTGTTGTGTGTGTATTTGTGTGTGTGTGTGTGTGTTGTGTGTGTGTGTGTCGTGTGTGTGTGACGCTGTGTGTGTGTGTGTTATGTCTTGTTGTCGTGTTGTGTGTGTTGTGTGTGTGTGTGTGTGGTGTTGGGCTGTGTGGTGTGTGGTGTGTGTGATGTGTGTGTGTGTGTGCTGTGTGGTTCGTGTGTGTGTGCGCGTGTGTGGTATGTATGTTGTGCTGTGTGCGCACGCGTAGTGATGTCGTCCAGCGTACAGCGCGATCATGTGTGTTTCGATGGTACGGCATTTGCGCGCGTGTGCTTGGCGCGTATATGTGTGTGGTGTGTTGTGCCGCGATAATTGTGTGGTGTGTGCGCCGTATATGTTGTCGTGCCTGCGCGCGAGTATTGTGAGTGTGTGCGTGCGGGTATTGTTTGTAAGTGTGTGCGCGCGGGTGAATGTGTGCAAGTGCTGTGGCGCGTATGTGTGTCGTGTGTAGTCTAAACGGCCGCGCGTCTGTTAGCCTCACAGCACCTTCCATCAGGCAATGAATTGCCGTATAGAATAACGTGACGCCGGTATGGCATCGCTATTGTTTCTCTATGAAAGCCACGCCTGTGTGCGTCGGTGGCGATAGCGTGGCCGCAGGCGACGTCATGCCAGGACGATCTCGGGGACAACCGTCGTAAGGCAATCTATAAAATACAGCGCCGCAAAACGTAGCTAATCCGAAAAGCGGCTGAATTGGCAATTATCATTCAATTCATAATTTAACAAATGCATGACAAACATAACAGTGACCCCCTAAAATACACTAAACAAATAAATTTATATAAAATCAACACGCATAAACACATAATTATAAAAAGTAAATCAGAGAATACACCAACATAAATCCATATAATCCAACAACTCATGAATAAAACATATAAATAAACCAGGCCCACAAGTTAAATAATTACACACACAAATAAACAACAACAAATAAACAAATATATTTATGAATTAATAATTAAAAAAAAAATTGATATATGCGCTAAAACTCGCCAGGAGCATAAATGTATTGACCGACAAGACAATCAGACTTATGAGCAAGGAAACTCAGTCCAAGTATGCCACAGCTAAGTCCGCCCAACGTATTCTATCTCGTCAGCTACGCGTCCGTCCGGAATCGTAGAAAGGTTTTCTCATGGCACGTGCTTCGTCCTTGCCAAGCCGACGCTCGGCGCACTGTCGATCCTCAACGAGGGAAACCTCGTTACCCGCTGGACATCAGAGATGAGCAACGAAGCTCACGCAGCGCTGTAGTCAGCCAAACGCGCGAACCTTGGCGTCGCCCGGTCCAGGGTCGCCCTCTAGTCGGTAGCTGCGGGTGGAGGAAGGGTGGAGTGTGTACAAACACGCGCGCACATATACACGCGCGCAATACTGCACGACGCAACGCATACACGCACATACACACAAGACGCACGCAGCATACACAACACCACACCACCCACATCCCGGAACAAACACACACAGGCGCGCGCGCGCCACAGCACACACAGGCACCACACACACAACACCACACACAGCGTACACACACACCGCAGCGGCACGTACGTACGCACCGCACGCACGCACGCATTCACGCGCGCATACAAGCACGCACACACACATACAGCGCTCACACAGCAGCGCAATACACGCCCACACAAAGCACGCACGCCGCATATACACACGCGATAAATACGGACGCCACACACAAACAGACACACCGTACACACACACACACACACACAACACACACACCACACACACACACCCAACACAGTACACACAACACAGGGGACACACACACAGGCACACA